TTTGGCAAAATTAGCCCAGTGCTACAAGTATAAAATACTTATTATTAATGCCCTGGTCACTTGAGTTTAAATTAGACAGGATTTTTACTTAATACCTAGTACATTAAATATTGTATGAACTAATTATTTACTTATTTTATTGTATATTATTATTATACCCTTGCAGGGTATTATAATTTCAGTCAGAAGTTTGCAACGCAGTGAAGGAGACGTTTCCGACCCTATAAAGTATATATATTCTTGATCAGCATCAACAGCCGAGTCGATCTAGCCATGTCCGTCTGTCCGTCTGTCCGTCTGTCCATCTGTCCGCCTGTCCGTCTGTCTGTTTCTACGCAAACTAGTCCCTCAGTTTTAAAGCTATCTGAATGAAACTTTGCATATAGTCTTCTATATGCTCTCACTGCTATATATGTCGGAACGGGCCAGATCGGACGACTATATCATATAGCTGCCATACAAATGTTCGATAAATTTGTAGAAAAAAAATTATAACTTTGCTGTTTTTCAACATTTTTGCACCATTTTTTAGATATAGCCATTTTATATTATTTCAAAATTTTGGTAAAAATTTTATGAAAATCGGACGACTATATGATATAGCTGCCATAGGAACGGTCGAGAAATAAATAGGAAAAAAAATTATAGTTTCGTTGTTTTTCAACGTATGTTTATCTACTCTGAGATATAAGCTTTTTTTATTATTCTAGAATTATGGTATAAATTTTATAAAAATCGGACAACTATATCATATAGCTGCCATATAAGCCGATCGGTAGATGTAGAGAAAATGTAAAACTGGGAATGTAAAACTGTAAATGTCAAACTCTAAACATAATAAGTATAGGTAAAATGTAATGAAACTCTGATTTGTGAGTGTTTTCAGCATTTAAATCTATAATATAAACATCGAAACCAATCTGCAAGGGTATACAAACTTCGGCGTGCCGAAGTTAGCTTCCTTTCTTGTTTTTAGTTATTTTTATCTATTTTATTTTATTTTATTTGTTTTTATATCCTTAATTACGTATGAAGTTTGCTGTTTGTTTATTTGTTTGTTATGCGTTGTTTCTTAAAAATAGTTTTACTTTTGAATTAAATTGAGTTGCATTCCTAATAGTTTTAAGTTCATGGGGTAATTGGTTCCATAGACGGATAGCGTTGACAAAGAACTGCCTCTCGGAGTTGAGCATTTGGACTCGAGGGCATATAAAATTTTTAGTCCTTTGCGAGGCTGCCGGTATTAATTTATTAAACAAGTAAGAAGGCTCATGGGTTGTCACTATTTTGTGGAAAAATGAAAGGGCTCTAAGCTTAATAAAGGAGTTTAAGTTTGTAGCAGCAATAATGACGACCGTTCTGCTTCAGATCACTCGCAAGACTGTTCTTTTTATTCTTCACTTCTCTTTTTGTGTATCCTGTATATCACAGATTATCTTAGTCTGTGTGTGTACATTTGCTTAGGGCTAAAAGTGTATGTATGTGTATAAATGCTTAGGGCTACTATAAAAGTGTATGTACAAACTTATGCTTAGGGCTACTATAAAAGTGTATGTACAAACTTATGCTTAGGGCTACTACAACTCGGCCGTCCTGACCGACAAGGATCTCCTGATCCTGGTTTAGTTTTGAGTTACATTATTTTCTTTTGGTTTTGCTTCTAGTATTATACACTTTGACTACCTTATCACTACAGTGACTATCCTTTTTACTCCAAACGTTTTTATTTTCTTTAACAAATTTTTCTTTCATTTGTTTCTAAGTTAGTGTTTTTATTTGGCTTATTTACTATGTGGTTTTCTACTACTTCATTCGCCTCATCAAACATATCATTTGTATTCCTTTCAATAACTCGTTCATTTGTATTTTCATTTTCTTCCCTTTCATTAGTTTCTTCATTTTCCATTTCATTTGTATCCTCATCTTCAATTTCATTTGTATATTCATATTCAACTTCATTTGTATCCTCATCTTCAACTTCATTTGTATCTTCATCTTCAGCTTCATTTGTATCTTCATCTTCAACTTCATTTGTATCTTCATCTTCAACCTCATTTGTATCCTCATCTTCAACCTCATCTTCAACTTTCGACCAACCAAACCAAGGCTTTATATTAGCTGCAGCCCAAACACCAGTGTATGGAATTCTAGATTGTTGAAATCCGTCGACATCTTTAACTACGTAGCGATCATTTCCTAGACATTTTACTACTTCAAAAGGTCCTTTAAACTTCGGGACAAGCTTCTTTGAAGCCCCCGTATGACAATCAAAATTTTTTACTACAACGTAGTCTCCCTGCTTATATAGTGTTGCCTTCAGCCGTTTGCTGTTTTTTGTTGATTCATTATAATTTTGTAATTGGGCTTCTCTTTCTTGGGCATTCTCCCTAATACTTTCAATTGTTCTTCCTTCCTTTTGTCCTTCCTGTAAATTTTCTCTAAGGCAGTCAACTAAACTCCCTCTCTGTCCGACTCCGAATAACATTACACTTGGATGTTGATTAATCATTCTATGAACTGTATTATTTATGGCAAACTCAATTTCCTCTAGAATCTTTTCAAAACCCCAATTCGGTTCTGAGCTTAACAATTTCGCAAGCATCGGGCCTATACTTCGATTTATCCGCTCTACCTGTCCATTAGCCTCGGGTGAACCTGTTGCTATTTGTGTATGAGTTATATTGCGATGCCTTAGAAAAGCTGAAAATTCTGAGGAGGTAAAACATGAACCTCGATCAGATACTATACTTTTGGGGATACTATATGATCTAAAATAGTTTCCCAACGCTGCAATCGCTTCAGTTGACTTTGTGGTTTTTGTAGAATATAATCTAACGAACTTTGTGCAGCTATCAACAATCACTAAAATATGTCTGGACTTCTTATCTTTTGTATTAACTGGTCCTAAATGATCAATATGTACCTGTTCAAACGGTTTTGTAGGTTTTTGAATATTGTGTAAATAGCCTTCGTGCTTGCCTTTAGCTGTAAATGCAATGCATTCTAAACAATTTTTGATATGCTGTCCTATCTTTTGCTTTAATTTAGGGAACCAGTAGGTCTTCAAAATAACTTCCAGAACTTTGTCGATACCAACGTGTCCAAGACCATTGTGGTATTTAAAAAGTACATGCGTTTCCATATCTTTTGGAACGTAACACAATAAAGAATCATGATATTTCCTATAAATGATTCCATTTCGCATCTCATACAGTTTGTGTTCATTTCTTTCTAGTAAGTTCCTCAAGCTGACTATATTCTCATCTTTGTTTTGGCATATAATCAGATTTTCTTCAAACGAATTTGTATCTACTACCATAATGTTAGTGCATCTACTAAGAGCGTCCACGTGCTGCATTCTTGCTCCAGACCTGTGTTCTAGCCTATAATCATAGTTTTCTATCTCTAGAGCCCAACGTGCTATTCTAGGGTTTATCTCCTTTTTTGTTAACGTGAGTGTCAGAGAATTGCAATCTGTGACAATTTTAAAACTTTTTCCGTGCAAATATACTCTAAATCGTTTGAGCGAATAAATTATTGCCAACGTTTCCAACTCGAAACTGTGATACCTCGACTCAGCATCTGTCGTACGCTTAGAGAAATAAAATACCGGGTGAAAACGCCCATCCCTTTTCTTTTGCATTAATATCGACCCAAAACCAATCGAACTCGCATCGCAGTGCAGTTCGATTTCATCTGTTGGGCTGTACAAAGCAAGTATTGGTGAGTCTATCAATTTTTCTTTTAGAATTTCAAACGTCTTTAGCTCCAATTCCCCAAACCGAAAATTTTCCTTCTTTCTCGTAACATCGTATAAAGGCTTCGCCACAATTGAAAAGTCTTTGATAAACCTGCGAAAGTAGGAACAAAGTCCTAAAAAGCTTTGTACCTCACTAGTTTTTGTTGGGATTGGAAAATTTTTAACAGCGGATATGCCTTTACCATCAGCTTTGATGCCAAATCCATTAATTGTATACCCTAGATATTTAACTTCCGTTTGAAAAAACTCACACTTACTAAGCCTCAATTCTAAATTATTACTTACTAGTCTGTCAAACACCTCATTTAAAATTTTCAGATGGCTCTTTACGTCTTTCGTTGCTATCATTATGTCATCTAAGTAAACAATAACCTTTCCTTCTCTAATTAGGTCACTAAAGACTTTATTAATAAACCTCTGAAACGTAGATGGTGCGTTTTTCAGCCCAAAAGGCATTCTTAGAAACTCAAACTGGCCAAGAGGTGTCGTGAACGAAGTGAACTTCACCGATTCCTCTTGCATAAAAACATGGTAGAATCCATTCTTTAGGTCTAGCTTAGTGAACCATTTTTTATCTGTCATTTGATCTAAGAGGTCATCTATCAATGGAATGGGATAACTGTCCTTTGCTGTTAATTTATTTAATTTTCTAAAGTCAATACACGTTCTAATTTCGCCAGATGCCTTCTTCACTAGTACAATTGGCGACACAAACTCAGACTCGCTTGGTCTAATATATCCCTTGGCAATATACTCATCCAAAATCTTTTGCAATTCATTTTTCTCAGCATACGAAAGGCGTCTGGGGCTACAGCTAAACGGTTTCACGTCATTGATCGTTATTTTCATTTCGCATTTTGTTTCTGGCATAGTTGGTCGAACAGCCCCGATATAACATTTGTGAAACATATTTTCGAAAAGAACTTTATCACATGCATTTAAATTTACCCCTACATTAACGTTTTCATTATTATTTTCATACTCAATCATGCAAATTTTTGCTAGAAAATCATCATCACTATCAAATCTAATCATGTCATTCGAGCTATTTATAATCATACTTTCGTTTGTACTTTCATTTGTTGAAGTAATCTCATCTTCATTCCAGACGATGTCAGCGCCACTCGCATTTAAAAAATCTCTACCCAAGATAACTTTTCTATTCATTGAATCGTTCTCAACAACTAGCATTTCAAGTTTTATTCTTTTATTATAAATTGTAATGAAAACAAAAATTTTTCCAATGATAATTAATTTGCTGAAGTTTAAACCAAAATACGTGGCTGGTGGCGCTGACTTCAAAATAACGCTAGCCGGAACACAATTTTTCTTCATAAAGCTGATCGGGCTCCCTGAGTCTAAGAGGCATTCTATAAAAAAAGGTTCATTAAAACTACCCTCTATTTCCATACTTAAATATCTTACATAATCATCTCTGCGAGTGGCTGGGGACGACGTCTTCTTGTTTTCTTCACAGGCCGCAGCAAGGTGACCCATTTTTCCGCACACAAAACAGGCTCCAACTTCTCTTTTAGGTTTGCGGCAATCTGAGGCGATATGTCCCAAACAATTGCAATTGTAGCAGCGGAAAACTGGCTTCTCGATTTTTCCTGAATTATTAGTAGCCCCTCCAGATCTTGGAGCTACTAAATTAACATGCTGTAAGGCTGACAGCAGGGCATCCTTCTCCTTGAAACACATCATGTTGGCGCTTGTGCGTATTTGACGATCGGATATACCGTGGATGATGTAATCAATTAACTCGCACTCCGGCATTTCTAATCCATTTGACAGTGTTACTTTAGTATTAAAGTAAGAAGTGAACGATTCGTTTGTTTGCCATTTGCGTGCTTCGAGCTTCTTGCGCAGTGTAATGGCACTCTCTTTTGGTAGAAAAGCTTTCTCCATCGATGCCGATAGGGTATCAACCTTCTCATTTGCAAGCTCAGGCTTTGAGTACACCCAGGCTTGCGCATCACCTTTAACTTTGCTAAATATTAGCGACCGTAACTTATTCTCCGTTAATCCATACGTCATTTTTAATACGTTTATATGTGTGCGCCAAACACTAACATTTGTGTGGCCGTCGAAATCTGGCAACATTTCCTTTATGCTTTGAAAAGGAATTTCATCATCTTTTGTAACTTTGCACGATGTCTCTCTCTCTCGCTTACTCTCTCAGACGCTCTCAATAAATCGTTCTCCCTCCGCAGTAGCTCTCTCTCAAAATTCATCAGCTCCAATTCTCTGGCCATTAATTTTAATTTCTCCTTCTGGAAAGCATTTTCGATCGCCAATTTTTGTTGAATGTCGTTCAAAAAATACAATTGCTTTCCGTCCTTTGCATTCTCTTCATTGTCCTGCATTTCTTCAGATTTTTCTAGATTTTTCTGCTCGTTTTTAGCTGCTCTTTTTAATTCTGCTTTCCCTTGTCCTTCGTTTACATCAGCTTCCTTATGCTCCTCATTTGGCTCGTCGTTTGCATCTTCCTCTGATTCTCCACCTTCATCGTAGTTTGCCATCTCATTTGATTCTTCTTCTCCGTCGTTTGCCATTTCATTTGGTTCTTCCCCTCGTTCGCTCATCGTCGCTTCGTTCGGTTCTTCCTCTCGTTCGTTTATCGCCGCTTCGTTTGCTTTTTCTTCTCGTTCGTTTAGCGTCGCTTCGTTTGCTTTCTCGTCTGTTTCTGGAATATTCTGTGCATTCGCCTTTTCGTTTGATTTATTGTCTAATTCTGAAACATTCTCTGCATTCGCCGATTCGTTTAAATTTGGTTGTCTCTTTTTGTTGGAACATGTTTCGTTTGGCATACTCGGACATTTTCCGCGAAAATGCACTTCACTCAACCTTGCTGCCAACGTACTCTTACTGCCGTGAGTGGCCAAGTTAAAAGCCGAACACCAATTGCGCAGTTGGTTAATCGAAAAATCATTTGCGTTAACCGGATCCATTATAGAGTTAGTTTTTGATATAAAATCTTGCAGGAATGGCTTTTGGCACGAGGTTTTGTGCCCACTTCTGATATTGTAGCAGCAATAATGACGACCGTTCTGCTTCAGATCACTCGCAAGACTGTTCTTTTTATTCTTCACTTCTCTTTTTGTGTATCCTGTATATCACAGATTATCTTAGTCTGTGTGTGTACATTTGCTTAGGGCTAAAAGTGTATGTATGTGTATAAATGCTTAGGGCTACTATAAAAGTGTATGTACAAACTTATGCTTAGGGCTACTATAAAAGTGTATGTACAAACTTATGCTTAGGGCTACTACAAGTTTAAGTCAAGTAGTTTAGTAGTCAAGTGTGATACACTCTTTAAAGAACTTTGTTTTTTCCCGTGTCACCCTCATGTTGGCATCGAGTAGGCGCTTAAGCACCGTGTCAATAAGCTTGACATGTTCCGTTTCATTCTCGGAAAATATGATAACGTCGTCAACGTAGACGTAGCATATTTTGCCGATTTCTTCCCGCAGCACATCGTCGATGGCTCTTTTGAAAATACTCCCTGCGTTTTTTAGGCCGAAGGGTAGTCGGCAAAATTCGTATTTCCCTCCATTAACTGAGAACGAGGTCTTATTTAGGATTGTTGCTGTGTCCGTGTTATGTGACATGACTATCTTGTTAGTGACGAGCGTGAGTTTCCTCTCGATCTCGTCATAGTATGCCATAAGGGCGGCATCTCCTTGCCGAACCATTTCCAAATTTTGCCGTAGCACTCTTAGGGACGTTTTGTCCGCATATGTGCAATCTAGTCTGGCTATAATTGCATCGAAATTTAGCACTGTGTTGTGGGACGTGAGTAGTGACCGAGCGGGACCGCAAATTTTGTTTTAATGATGACAACGGCCTCGTAGTGTGCTTCGCTGCCGTCGTATTTTTTGAATACTTCATATGCATCTGATGCAGCCTGCCTCCACGAAACGTACTCATCGTGGCTTCCACTGAACGCCGGCAGAGATTTTACTATGTCTAACTTGACATCGCATCTTACCGCAGGGTTCGGTATTACTCTTTTATAGACCTCCACCTGCGGCGCTTGCACTGACAGCGCGCTAACCTCTGTTCTAACTGCTTCTAATTCGATTCTTAACCGCTCCTCCTGTTCGTTAAGAGCGGCGCTGACCGCATTTGCGACAAGCGCTTGGATCATTTCTGCGTTCATTTCTGGTTGATCTATGTCCCTAACTTCGGGGCGAAATCCTACTTTTTCGCTATCGCCGCTATCCATTTCCGGTTTTACTTCCCTATACTTCCAACTCATTGGCAGTTAAAGGGCGTTGGGTAGATACGAGGTATTTGAAAATTGGAGAAAAATAATGGATCGTCACCAAAAACACAAAAATGTTGGATTAATTTGTCCCAAAAACAAAATTAAAATACAGAACGGTGACAACAGCTATAGGTCAATTCGACTGGGTATATTATTAGCACAGACACACTGGATAACTTTAGTACAAAATTCAATATAAGAACAGTGGATAAAATTGTAGCAAAATACAAGAAGAAAAACGACTGGCAACCTCTGCATGTGTATAGAGACCAACATTAACAAAGAAATAAAATATTCCTTTGCATAATTAAATCATATAAATGTTGATTGCCTTGGCACCAGTGTGCGTTATTTGAGATATATGGTTTCCTTTATTTATAATGCACTTGAAAAAATCCAAATCGAACAAAATTAAATCAACACGCAGAACACGGAAGTATTTTGTAATCTAATATTTGAATTATTTATTCACATAAAAATCGCCAGTACGAGTGTACGTAACTTGAGTTATATGTTTTTTATTTTTTTGCCACGCACTCATAAAAAATCTGAATCAGAAATCGAAAATCGAGTCATTTTTTATTTATTCGTAAAAAATTCCTATTGCTGGGCATAGGAAATTGTATGCACTGGTATTTGTGTGTTGTGTATGTGTAGACCTTGGCTATTGTCGGCGCTCAGCTACTTACATAATTTACAACTTCAGGGGTGGGATAATATTAATCCGTTGGGCGTCAATTGTCCGAGCCGGCTGGCGGATCCTCCGCGGCAGGGGTAGAGCCGGTAGGTAATATATCCGTGGGGGGCTGGCAGTAGGGTACTGCCGCTGGTTGAGTATTGGTGACCACCAAGATTGGCAGCCACTGGGAAGTCGGGTGGTTGCTTCGACTCCTTTGCTTCTTCCGAAGTATACGGTGGGAGATACTTATCTCCGTTGTCACGGCCCTTAAGGCACGATAACCAAACTCAATAATCAGAATAATGTAACGGCTAAGGCCGGAGTTTTAGGATCGAGCTGGTGCTCTTTATTTCAAATCCAAATTAAAACTAAAACTTAAGATTGAACAAAAGCTCATGCATAGCCGGATGCCCGTGGCAGGCCGCAGACCTTGCACATTTTGCAGAAGTCATACGATCGCTGTCAGCCAATGAAAAGGAGCCACGGCTCGGAATGGCACAATGTGCTGGCTCAGCTCTAATGCCAATAAGGCAGACCCAATTTAGGGTGAACCATGCATGAGGGAGAAGTGTAATAATAATATTAATAATAAAAAGTGATTAATACTAGAGAATGATAAACATGATAAATGATTAATATTAATAAAGTAAATAAGAACTGGCCTGCTGGACGCCGTCCTCGGTGACAGCCAGTTCGTCGATGGACTTTTGTAGCTGGGCTGCCTCTCGTTTGCGCCTGCAGTGTTGTTGGAGCAGGACCAAGCCGCATAACGTGAGGCTGATGGCAACTCGTGTGGCGAACCAAATCCTCGGGGAACCTCCATCCGACACGTTATCCCGGAGCTCCTGCATTAAACGCAGGTTATGCTCATTCATCCGCTGTAGCAATGGCAGACTCAGTATGTGATCGTGTCCCGTGATGTTAATTATGGAGGAGGCCGCAATACCCGGGCTCATATTCACTGAGTGGTTGAGGTTCAAATATACGGAGTCGTTGATCACCGCCTTTCTCTCAAAGGTGATGAGGTGGGTCCCTATTATGGTTGTTGTGGGACCGTCATCGATGGTAATCCTCGTCAGTTTCTCATTAATGATAATTACCCCGTCGTCCACAATTGTAAGGGGTTCCAGATTCCTTGGCCGCGTCCGGCATGTAGCCGCCCCGCCTGCATGTAACTGCCTGGCGCAGGTGTCGTGGGACGCTTTTATGCAAAATGTGGCCAAGTTGGTAGAAGTGCAATCGGAGACTGCTAGGATTCCGTCATCACATTCCGCTACGATGTTGTTTTCTATTTGTAGCATAGTATGGTAGTGTGCGACAGGGAAGAGCAGGACCTTTTTACAAATACGCTTAACTCTAGGATACTGGACTATAACGTGGACAAGAACATTATTTTGAAGAATTTTAATCTTAGATACATCCATAAGGCTAACTATTGGGACCTCTGTTAGCTGTTCGTCAAAAATAGCCTTTAGGTCATTGTGATTGAAAATGGTAGGATTGATGATATTATTTTTAGCAAGAGTGATGGTGATCATACAATTTTGGATTTCTGATATTAACATTCTATTCCTGGCAAGGAGTGTTTCATACAAGTGACCTGAGTCGACAAGCCCGTCCCTCTTTTCCCTGAGGATCTTGTTTACTGTGTCTGTGAGTAGGTTGATGTGCTTCTGTGTCTCTGTGTTAATTATAACCTGTCTATATTTAGCCTCGATAAGCGACGCTTGAATGGTGTTGATTCTACTTAAATCGTCTGCGTCGGGAGTACCCGC